TGGCTCAGCGCAGCGGGGCAGCGCAATGGCGCAACACTGTTCTGCATCGCATCAGCTGTCTGCTTTCATCACACACCCTTTACCTTTACCTTTACACCCACCTCCTTGAATGCGCTGGATGGTTGAGGCTCGGCCGCCGCGGTGCCCGTGAATGGGCCAGTGGCAGCAGCAGACTTCATGCTCAGCGCGGGCAGCGTTGTCAGTGTCCCTTCGTTTCCCCATCCAGTCTCCTGCCCATTGCTCTCCCTACAGACTGCAGTCACTCCATAGACTGTGCCCGGCGAGAGGCCGTCTACGAAGCACTTGGGAGAAGTGCACGTCCTGTTGAAGCATGGGGCAACCGTGCGGGGCATGGGGCACATCTCGACGATGAAGCGCGCGCAGGTCAGCCCGGAGGGCGGCAGGAGGTCGATGATGCCGCTGGTGGCGGTGACCGACTCGGTGCCGTTGATGGAGGGGCCCTTGCTGCAGTGCGGCGGGTGGCAGGCCACAGCGGGGCAGCATCGACAGTGATTGATCGAGTAGGATGTTGGAGGGGGCTGTGGGCATGTGCAAGCTGCACGCATGTGCTGCTGGTGGAGGGAGAGTCCTGCTAAAGCCGCCGTTGCCATGGCCTGCTGCCCTGGTGCAAGGATCACACACCTGGGAGGAGGAGGAGACGGGAAGGGAGGTGGAGGGGAAGAAGGGGGCAAGGGAGGCGGAAGTGACCCACCGCCGGCGATAGGGGGCCGAGGCGCACGCGGAGGAGGGCGAGGAGATGGCAGCGGTGGCGGGCTGCACCATAGCCAACAACACGTACTGCGCTTCAGTGTGTGAGTGTGATGCTGGGGCGAGCAGGCGGGTGGGATGTTCCATCCTCAAGCAAAACAACAGCACATGCTGGCGGACCTGAAGGGCTGGGTGGTCAACGAGACCATGTTGCTTCCAGCTGTGGTGCCTCCAGTACTGTCCTGCCCAACCACCGTCACTTTGTACTGCAGACACACCAGGAGGAGGCAGTCGGGTAGCAGTGAATGAGCCCATGGGAAGAAGTCAAGGGCAGGCTTGCAAGCGGGCATGCAACCCCAACTGAGACTGCCTACTCCGCCTGAAAAGCGGGCATGCTGGCGATGTCACCGGCGAGACAGGTGCACAAGGAACCCACCACTCCACTATGCCTGCCACTATCGACTGCCACTTTGCACGAAACTCTGCACATGTTCACCTTGGTGTTGGGTTTCAACCCCGTGAATATGCCCACGCTGGTGGTGCTATTGAACGCCAGAGGCTCGCAGGTGGGGCATGCCACCTCTTGCAGCGTGAAGATGTACTGCACAAGCGCCGCGCAGCAACATCAACAGCTGAGCAGCATGTGTTAAATGCATTTCCAGACGTGGGCCTACCCAGCCACACTCCACACCCACCCACCCCCCTCGCCAGACGAAAGTGCCCACCTTCACAAATGCGCCCGCTGGCTGTGGTTGTGCAGTGGCTGTGCCGCTGGTGGGCGAGGTGGCATCAGCAGAAATCAGCCTCAGGCTCTTGGGGGGCACAGGCGGAGGTGAGGGGGGCGTGCGAAGGAATCCGCTTGCCGGTGTCCTGAATTGCAGCGCGTTGCTGCCCGGCGTCCTCTGGCCCCGCTTGTCCACGCCGACGACTGTCACCTGGTACTGCAGCAGTAACCGGGAAGTAAGCAGATAAGCATGTGGATATGGAAGCGTGACGAGTGCATTACACAGATTCGACGCGTGGCACTGCCTGCCTGGATGGCAGCACATTTGGTGCCACGCCAGAACTGCTTACCGTGGTGTTGGGTGTCAGCCCCGAGAATACACCCAGGGTGGTGTTGCTGGTGAAGTGCAGCGCAGGACAGCTGGGGCAAGCCGCTTTCTTCACCGTGAAGATGAACTGCACAAGGGACGGCCACACCAGGCGATGAGGGCTGTATAGGGAGTGGGAGGGCAGGTGCACACTGTTGAGCAGCAAGCCCTGCGCCCCTGCCTGCAAACTACCTGGGCAAAATAGCCTGCTGGCTTCTCGGACACTCTTGCCATGCCCCTGGTTGGGTTGAGGCCGCGCGCTTCTGTCAAGTTCAATCCTGGAGCAGGAGTCGGACGTGGTGGAGGGCGCTGGGCATCCAGCGTCTTGAACTGCAACATGTTGATGCCCTGCGTCTTGCGCCCGCTCTTGTCCATGCCAGCCACCGTCACATTGTACTGCAACAAAACAAGTGGCGGGAGCGTGCAGCGGATGCGCAAGTGGATGTGGCGCGAAGAGGGAGGGGCAGCATGCGCCCTGCTGGCATGTGGCTGGCATAACGTGGCTTCTTGCGAGCGAACAGGCAGCAGCACAATCATTCTGGCACTCACTGTGGTTTTAGGTGACAAGCCAGAGAGTATGCCCAATGTGGTGCTGCTGTTGAACAGCAAGGCCGGACAGAGAGGGCACGCCGCTTGCCTGACCGTGAAGATGTACTGCAGGACAACACTCATCAAGACATTGTATCGTGTTTGCTCGGCACAATGAGGCAATCACTTGCGGCGCCACAGCGCACCTTCACAAAGGCGCCAGGTGGCTGTGGGGACGCAGTAGCAATGGCGGTGGTCGGAGTGGTGGCCCTAGCAGACGTCAGCTTCAGGGTGGGCGTGGGAGGGGGGGGTGGGCCAGACTTGGTCGGCGTCTTAAACTGCAGACTGTTGCTGCCCTGCGTGCGCCGGCCATTCTTGTCCACGCCCGCCACGGTCACAGTGTACTGCAGCAGGCGAGGAGATGCAGGTGGTCAGGGAAGAGACAGTGGTTGCGGTCGCACAGAGTTGAGAACAGGGGTGGTCAGGTGGGGCCGAGCGCTGATAGTATGATTTTCTTCCTCCTGTGTCACACATGGCTAGCTACCCTCTGCTGCAGCCCATCTGCTCACCGCCGTGTTGGGCGCCAAGCTGGTGAAGGTACCCATTCGTGTGCTGCTATTGAACTCCAGCTTTGGACAGCCGGGGCACAATGCTTTCTTCACCGTGAACATGTACTGCAGCAAACAGCACAGCCGCCCATTTGCTGACTGGTATCTGATCCACTCCGACAGAAAGCCGCACAGGCGCTGTGGCCCCACAACAGAGGTGGCCTGCTTGCCTTGGTGAAGTAGCCTGGCGGCAGTGCAGTGGCGTTGGCAGTGCCGCTGGTCGGTCCCCTTGCCTTGGCAGACGTCAGGCGCAGGGAAGGTGCTACTGTCGTGAGCTGCATCATGTTGGCCCCTTTGGTGCGCTGCCCTGTCTTGGTCACGCCCAGTACAGTCACATTGTACTGCACATAGAAAGCGCAGGCAAAGCGATGCAGGTCAGCACATCTGGAGCTGGCCGCTGCCTGTCTCACGCTCTGCAGCTCAAGAGGAAACGCACGCCACCCTTCACATATCACACAAAATGGCAGGCCCTCCAACCAAACACTGACCTTGGTTCCGGGCTCCAGCCCAGTCAGCTGAGCGCTGGGTGCCCTGCTCGTAAAGGTCAGCGCTGGGCATGGCGGCACGGTGCACCTGGCTTTTGTCACGGTGAACACGAACTGCAGGCAGGATGCAACCGACAGTGCTTGTCGACTGTTCTGTCTCCTCGCAAGCCAGGCAAAGCACCTTCCAATGCTTCCCCTCTGCACGCACCTTGGTGAAGGCATCGCTGGGCAGGGCGCGGGCGGTGGCGGTGCCGGTTGTGTATCCTGTGGCCTTCGCCTGAGTGAGACGCAGGCCCGCAGGCATGGTCAGCTGCAGCATGTTGTCCCCTGGGGTCCGCTGCCCAGTCTTGCTGATGCCCTCCACGGTGACATTGTACTGCACAAAATGCGGCGAGGGCGGGGGCGCAGCGCCAGTGCGGAAAGAGGCACGTGTGGGATGCCACAGCCAGGCTTCAGCCAGGCTGGAACGCGACACAAAGGATATGTTTATGTCTGCCCGCACAATCATGTAGTTGCAAGCTGCACGCGGCCTACCAAGGCCCCAGGCTCTAGTCCATGCAGCTTGACCGTGGCGGTGCTGCTAGGGAAGTTGAGGGACTTGCATGTAATGCAACCCAATTTCCTCAAAGAGAACATGTACTGCAACAGGGCAGAGGGGGTATGTTGGTTGTGCAAACCTGCCGCCAGCATGAGACCACCTGCGCAAGCGCTGTCGTTTGGTTTTGCAAACCAAGGCAGATTATCTGGTGGAACACAGCGTTACTGCACCCATGGGGCAGCCGCCAACAATGCATACCCTTGGCAGCATACCTGAGGGAAGGCTCCTGCTGGCTGTGTGGTGGCAGTGGCAGTGGCGGTGGTGGAGCTGGTGGCTTGTGCCGACTCCAGGTGCACGCTGGATGGCGTGGTGAACTGCAGCGTGTTCTGCCCTGCTGTCCGCTGCCCCGTCTTGCTGATGCCCTCCACGGTGACATTGTACTGCAGTTGACAAGGAATGGGGGTGGCGGGTTCAGCAGTGGAGGGTCAATACACACAAGAGGTGAAGCAGGGAGTGCAACGCTACGTTCTGCCCCCGGCACGTTGGCAGGGCAGAGAGGCAGCACAGGTGGAGTCGGCTTGTTCCACACACCCGGGTGCCGGGCTCTAGGCCAGTAAAAGCAGCAGCAGGAGTCCGGCTCGTGAAGGTCAAGGCAGGGCAGGGTTGCATCGGGCAGCTTGCTTTCCGCACAGTGAACATGTACTGCAGGCACGCATAAGGAAGGCCGCCAAGCTTCGTGTAGCCTGGGTAGCGCGGAGAATCAGCCTGCTGCCACCACTAGCATGTGCCCAAAGGACCACCATCCAGCACCAATGCATGGCACATGGACGAGCACCAGCGTTCCTGTGGCCTGTTCACAGTGCACTCAACGTTGCACTCACCTTGGAGAAGGCGCCAGCTGGGGCAGTTGCGGTTGCTGCGCCAGTGGTTGGCCCTGTTGCTGTTGCCGAGGTCAGCATGAAGCCAGCAGGAGTAGTGAATTGCACCCTGGCCTGCGTGCTGAGGCCTTCGGTCCTCTCACCGTTCTGGCTGATCCCCGTGACAGTCACCTTGTACTGCACTCATGTTTTTCAACAAGTGCCAAGTGGGTGAGTCCCAGCATGCAGGCCATCTGCCTGGTGCTGGTCATTGTGGTAGCGGCACCAACACCAGCATGCGCGGGCAACAGGGGGAGTGCTGGCCAGTCGACGGCTGCACAGCCAGCCTTTACGTGTCCGGCCCAAGCACTCACCGTTGTGCCAGGAGACAGGCCAGAGAAGTAGGCATCAGCCGTGGCAAAGGTGAAGGTCAGGGTTGGACAACTCTTCCCCGGCGCACAGTTGACTGGCTGCAGCTCATACTCATACTGCAGGGAAGACGACAGCCAGCAGCAAGCCAGAGGGCAGGCAGGCATCTTAGCCAGAGCAGGCAGGGAGGTTCCAGGCAACGAGTGTCCCAGCCGTCGGTTGCATGCCAAACTGCGCCACATCTGCAGCCGCGCTGGCATGGCAGCGCATCCAGCGCAAACATCCACCATTCTGCCAGTCGCACCTTGGCAAATGCGCTGCCTGGGATGGGTGTCGCTGACGCCTTGCCGGTGGTAGGGCTCATGGCGGCGGCTGCGTCCAGCAGCAGGTGCCTTGCAGTCACCATGCCGCGCTGCTGGCCGGTGGCGGCAGCACCCTCCGCAAAGAATACGGGGGTCTTGCTGCCGGCACCAAAGGCAGTGCCATTAAGAGGGTAATTTGAGGGGACCAGGCGGCCTGCCAGATCCATCGCCGCCCCCTGCTGGCTGCCAGGATACGCACTGGAAGTCACCACCCGGCAGCCGCTGGAGACATGCACGGCGCTGACCACACTGGTCACCACGTCACCTGCGGGGGCACAGGCGACATTAAGTTGTCGTGTCCAGGGTGAGTGGCTGGGGTGCCTAGTGCTCAGCGCTACTGCTGGCACTGCTGCTGCTGTGCCACACGGTGAATATCACACAGCCTTGCACACAGACAACTGTCCAGGCACCAGCTCACTTGGAAGCTTGCTTTTCAATGCGGCTAAGTAGGCCGTCACCAGCTGGCGAGTGCAGCTGGGTGCATACACTATGATGCCAGTCAGCGTCAGCGTGGTGCGTACTGCAGGGGTCGGGAGGTGGCACGTCAGACCCACCATTACAACCCCCAGACAGTTGCGGGCCAAGTCCACCTCCCTGCCTGCCGTGCAGATAGCGCCACCAATACATCAGCCTGCCCTGACATAGCTGGCAGCTGGCAGGTCCATTAGTGAAGGCCAGATCCCCACTACTGCTCAAACCCCCCACACATGTGTGCCCGCGCACCATCGCAAGGCGACACAAAGCTGCTGTCTGGGACCCAGCGGACAGCATAGCCGTCATCAGGGGCCATCTGGCCAAACTGCAGCACACCAGGGGTCAGGGGCACATGTGCCAACAAGGGAGGGAGGTGGTGCGATCAAGGCAGGGGGCTGCATGTCCACAACAAGCTTGCCTGTGGCACGGGCCAGACACTTGCTGGGCGGGTCCTCATCGTGTTCAGCGCCTTTGCCAGTGCGGCGGGGGCGGCGTTGCTCACAAGCGTGTCCATGGCGAGCTTTTGCAGCGCGGCTGCATGGGGCAGGACGGGGTGCGGCATGCGGTGGTGCAAAAGAGGCAGCCCAGCAATAACTGGCACCAACAACACAGCACTACAGCAGCCCTCCAGCTCCCCCTCCCCCCTGCGTGCAAAAGGCCTGCTGGCGCCGAGCCCCAGCCCAGGAGGACAGCCTCACGGTTGCCGCCGGCGCCCGTCCAGTCGCCGTCGTCAAGGTGAGTCTTGTACGTCACTAGCTCGATCTCGCCGCCGTTGCAGTAGTACGCATCCATTCATTCATTCAGCACACAGACCGGCCGCCTCTTGCTCGAGGGCGGCCCACTTTGGCCTGGGCAGCCCGGGCCGCCCTCCCCCCCGGGCGCATGTTCGGTGTTGGAGGGGTGTGCCCAGCGATAGGGGGCCCCTGAAGGCATGCGCCGAGGCCGGGAAGCGTGGTTCGGCGCTGCTGCACGCTTGGCGATTTGAACAGAACCACGTGCCGCCGAGCTGCGGCCGCAGTTTCCGGCCCACGGTCTACGGTCGCAGCCACGGGACTCGGCGGCACGGCGTTTGGGCCCAAGCTTGCTGCCGCCGCCGCCGTGCCCGGGGGCAGCGCGGCGGCGGCGGGGGCACGCTGCGACGCCCCCGTGCTGCCGAGTTGCGGCCGTAGTTTCCTGCCAGAAGCCCACGGCCACAGCCACGGGACTCGGCGGCACGGCGTTTCGGTCCACGGCTTGCTGCCGCCGCCGTCGCAGGGGTGCTGCCTGCGGCGGCGGCGGCACGGCGTTTGGGTCCACGGCTTGCTGCCGCTGCCGCCGCCGCAGGGGTGCTGCCTGCGGCGGCGGCGGTAGCGCACGTGGCAACCCCCCCGCGTTTCCTTGCCTCCCATCCACCGGACCCCGTCCTGCGCTTCACTTTGTTTA